AAAGTGTTGCCTTTAATTTAATCAATAAAATAAATTGACTTCATTAATTTTTTTGAACCACCTCTTAAGAAAATCTAAAAAATATGAATGGAATGATAAATCACAAATACAAACTCATCATATTTTTTGCATTTTAGATAGGATTTATTCAGCAAAATTTAAGGGTGACGTCATCAATTTTTTTAGGAGGGATGAACAAATACATTTTGAACAAAAGTTTACCATGCTTATAATAACTTTAAAATATTCCCAAGATTTCAAAGCATTCGGTTTTGTAATTCCTGATTAAATCGATAAAATAAATTCACGCCTTCATTATTTTTTTTGAGTCACCCTGCATATGCAAATCCAAAAATATGAATGGAATGATAAATCACAAGTACAGACTCATCATATTTTGTACATTTTAGATACGATTTATTCGGCAAACTTTTGAGCTGACGTCATCAGTTTTTTGTAGAAGATAACCAAATATATTTTGACTAAAAATTTATTATGCTCTTTATAACCTTACAACATCTGCAAGATTTCAAAGCATTCGGTTTTGTAGTTCCTGATTAAATCAATAAAATAAATTTACGCATTCATTAATTTTTTTGAGTCACCCTGTATATGCCAATCGAAAAAATTTGAATGGAATGATAAATCACAAGAAGAGACTCACCATATTTTGTACATTTTAGATAGGATTTATTCAGCAAAATTTTGTGGTGACATCATAAATTTTTTAGGGGGGACGACCAAATACGTTTTGATCAAAAATTTACCATGCTTATGATAATTTTAAAATATCTTCAAGATTTCGAAGCATTCGGTTTTGTAGTTCCTGAGTAAATCAGTAAAATAAATTTACGCTTTCATTTATTTTCTTGAATCACCCTGTATATGCAAATCCAAAAGATATGAATGGAGTGATAGATCACAAGTACAGACTGATCATATTTTGTACATTTTAGATATGATTTATTCGGCAAATTTTCGAGCTGACGTCATCAAGTTTTTGGAGGGGATAAGCAAATATATTTTGACTAAACATTTATTATGCTCTTTATGACCTTAAAACATCTGCAAGATTTCAGAGCATTCGGTTTTGTAGTTCCTGATTAAATCAATAAAATATATTTACGCATTCATTAATTTTTTTGAGTCACCCTGTATATGCAAATCCAAAAAATATCAATGGAGTGATAGATCACAAGTACAGACTCATCATATTTTGTACATTTTAGATATGATTTATTCCACAAACTTTTGAGCTGACGTCATCAAGTTTTTGGAGGGGATAAGCAAATATTTTTTGACTAAAGATATATGATGCTCTTTATAGCCTTAAAACATCTGCAAGATTTCAGAGCATTCGGTTTTGTAGTTCCTGATTAAATCAATAAAATATATTTACGCATTCATTAATTTTTTTGAGTCACCCTGTATATGCAAATCCAAAAAATATGAATGGAGTGATAGATCACAAGTACAGACTCATCATATTTTGTACATTTTAGATATGATTTATTCCACAAACTTTTGAGCTGACGTCATCAAGTTTTTGGAGGGGATAAGCAAATATTTTTTGACTAAAGATTTATGATGCTCTTTATAGCCTTAAAACATCTGCAACATTTCAAAGCATTCTGGTTAGCAGATTAAAAATTAAATTTCAAAATATTGTTTTATAATTTTGATTTTTTTTCCAAAAATCTGGACGTTTCGGGTGAAAAGTCGATTCAGAGTTGTAAACTACATGTGTAGGACTATGTTATTTTATACAATTGAAAACCCATTTACTATGTACAATTTTGAAGTGACGTCATCGCATTAGTGGTGGGGATGATTAGACAAATTTTGGTTAGCGTTTTACCATCTACATGATATTCTTAATATAAGTACAAAATTTCACAACAATCGGTCGAGTACTTTCGGAGATTATCTGTCTAATAAAAATCCGAGACAACAGACGGACAGACGGACGGACAGACGGACAGACAGACGGAAATGGGAGACCTATTTCTTCGTCTTCTAGGGGTCATGAAAGATCGAGAAAACGTAAAAGTAGAGAGTCGGCCGACGGACTCGATTACAATACTTCCTTTGCTTACGCTCGGGAAGTAAAAAGCGTAATAACCGAACTAAATTTATTTACAAATTGCAAAAACACCTTACCTTTTATTACAAAAAATACATAAATCACATTGCAAACTGTTTAATTAGATCTCACTGATAAATAAATGACATTTTTTAAGATAATATTCTTATACTAAAAAATAAATATAGGTAAACAGAACGAATTAAAAAATAGTAGTAATTGACTATTTAATTACTATTTTGGTAACAATTTATTTTTAAATATTTTTCGAAATATTCTAACAAACGTTTTTCCGGTGATTCTAAAGTATGTATTTTGTAAATAGAAAAACTGCGTACTGCGTCCACAGATGTAAAAATACTTATCGGATAGAGCAGGCACAACAAAACACAGTTCCTTCTTGAAGAATAAGTTCAGGAAAAGGTTTAATTCATAAATTAATTTGAGTTATCTACATATTGACACACATCTCTATCGCTTTAAATACTTAAATGCAAACTCACAATGAAAAATAATAGGATAACCTCCCTTCGACCACCATAAAACATACCATTAATACAACGAACAAAAATATTGAAATGAACGGTATTTCCAAAAGTAATTAGGACCCGAATTTACCTGGAAAGATGGCTTAACACCCAGTGGTTCCTCCAAACTACCATAAAACCCAAACCTTTCCCAGTTATTTGAAGCTCAGGACAATATTTGCAATAGGATTAATGAAATTTCGTCTTTCTAGAAAAATGCCGATCGAATGGCATTTTTTTTTTCAAAGTAGCACAAAAATTGATAAAAATGCAAAATATGCACCCGTTACGTGAAATATGCAGCAGAAGGCAAATATATGCAAATATGCAATTTTTTTATAGCTGTATTCATTTTTAATTAGCATGGTTCGTTCACATGTTAAATATCAAGACTTATATGCAAAAAATAACGGATATGCAAATTTCATAAAATCCGCTCTCTACTAATGATAATAAATTCATTTATTATTTCACGTTTACTTCATAGAAATATTGTTAATAATACTCTTCAACTGTTTTTATCATAAATTTCCCTCTTTTGGTTTATAATTTGTACGTTTCTTCTTGTTATTATTATTGAAAAAGAAATATTATTATTAGGAGAATATTTGAAAATTTTTGGTAATGAATTAAATTTTTTAACCAAAAATTGCCAAGTTTATTACTGCACACAATCGAAATGAGTTTAAAAAATTAAAACCTATTGGATAAAAATAATAACAAGAATTAATTTATTGCAATAACTGAAATGATTATAATCAATGGCCTGAAATAAATAGCTTTAGAAATTACGAGAATCTTTATTAGTCCTGCAACAGTCATGACTACAAATTATTTTGTTCGACATCTTTATTATTGAAACCGGAAGCGGATTACGACGTCCTATTTGAATTTCAATACGGCGTCCCTATAATAGAATTATCTTTTGTCAAGACGTAAAACTGTACCAATTGCGACATCTGAGATGTTTCTGTTTCTGTCTTCGTCTGTCACACTATCCGCAGGTAGAGGGTTCTTAGCATTTTGACAGAAATAGAACATTTTATACTATACTGTATGTATTATCGCACGCAAAATTATTTCCGGTACCGATCAGCGAAAGGTATTACGCTTCTCCGCCTCCTCTTTACGGGTTTCCATAATCCCATAAACACTCAGGTATATAGAACAAAGTGTACAAGGACTTCGTTTGTGTCTGTTCAAAGCATGAAATATATTCCCAGTTATTTAATTGTTTTTTGCAACTTTCATTTTTTTCTTCATCGACTTCTTATTAATAATTTACTACACATTACTTCTTTTCTATATATTTGACATTGTCTTGCAATAAATTCCGTGACATTGCGTACTGTAACATTACACCTGGTTGTACCAGAGAGTTGAACAGTTAAGGGTTAAGTTTATATACCTATATTTATTTTGATAAAAAAATAACATTTTGGGCATTTTGTTGAAAAGCCACTTTAGAAAGATCTTACTTAATCAGTCTAAAGCAGCGTATTTCCATGTCCAGTAAATTATTAACAAGTTCCTTTTCAACATTTTTATGGGAATTTTTGTTCCCAGACTTTTTTGAAGTCATTACCGATATTTCATGTCTTGCTTCAACAACTGCAACAATTTGTGGCTGTAAACAATTTTGACCATTAGTTTTTCTAATGTATATCCTAACTAAAATAAATATTTCAATCGAGAAGAAGAAAAATTGTTTAAATGCATTAAATTTTTAATACTGAGGCATCGTGTTCCCTTGATTATTCTGCCGCAGTCCTCTTTTGCATTTTTAAACTGAATCTGACCTAAATTCTCATAATAAAAGAGTTTCATGTCAATTACACTATTAATTATTAGTTGGGCACGAACATCACAGAGTAATCCATAGGCGTGCGTGCCTTGAGTTGCAAACCTCAAGGCTGGGAGTTTACGTTGACAATGATTATTCCGAAAATTAAATTTCCTTATAGAAATAAACTTACAGGTATGGGGAGACTAAAGACTGCCCACAAACCGCGAAAGCACTAAATAAGTGAAGAAGTACGTAGAATACGCCTATGATTTTATATTTTTATTAAGGAAAAACTTAAGTAATAACGTTTGTGCAGTCGGCCTGTACATAGTTGGGTCCGTGCCCAGATTCTATAGTTCTATCATGTTTTATTAATTTATAGCTTATTAGGAGATGCTGACATCATCTTTGTAACATATGATTAAAGTGATGGACAGCATGTCATGAGTCATTCTTTAACAAATTATAATTTCATTAACATAATTCGATTTTGTACAACATATTAATTATCATTAATTCCAAAACAGTATCTCTTCATTTATAAGTATAATAACATGAGTGATACGTCGTTAGTTTTATCATGTATTTTCGTTTTGGATTTTAGGTTATCCGACAAAGCAAGATTTGCGTACGACGGTTTGAAACGCCAGCGCTTAGTCACCCCCATGCTTCGCGGCAGCGATGGCGAACTTACACCCGTCGATTGGGAAACCGCTCTCTTGAGTGTCGGAAAAGTCCTAAGAAATGCGGGTTCTAGTGTAGGCGCCATAGCTGGCGGCTTAGCAGATGCCGAAGCATTAGTAGCCCTAAAAGACCTCCTAAACAGACTAGGCTCCGAAGATCTATGCACCGAGCATACATTCCCCATGGACGGTTCCGGCAGCGATCTGCGTTCGAACTACTTACTGAACAACAAAATCGCCGGGGCCGAAGACGCTGACTTCGTCCTGTTGATCGGAACCAACCCTAGATTCGAAGCACCGCTTCTAAATTCACGCTTAAGAAAAGCTTACGTGCACAAAGAACTCGATGTGGCCTTGGTTGGCCCCAAAGTAGACTTAACCTACGAGTACGATCACTTAGGAGATGACCCTAACGTTATTTCGGAGATAGCTTCAGGTAAACACCCTATAGCGAAAAAGTTGAAGGCTGCGAAGAAACCCTTGATTATTCTGGGGGCTGATATTCTGCAGAGGCCTGATGGGGGCGCGTTGTTGGCAGCCGTTCAAAGTTTGGCGGCTTCCACGACTCCGTCGGAAGGTTGGAAAGTTTTCAACATCTTGCATAAAGTTGCCAGTCAGGTTAGTCTTTTAAAAAGTCGTAAGTTCATTGTTACCAAGAAGCAAACAATTTCAGGTGGCTGCACTGGATATTGGATATACCCCGGGGGTTGATAAGATCCGTGAGAATAGCCCGAAAGTTCTTTTCTTGTTGGGAGCAGATGAAGCTGCTATTGACAAGAGTGATTTGCCGGAAGGTTGTTTCGTCATTTATCAAGGTCATCATGGCGATCAGGGAGCCGTTATTGCGGACGCCATATTGCCGGGGGCTGCCTACACTGAAAAACAAGCAACTTATGTGAATACCGAAGGAAGAGCGCAGCAAACGTTGCAAGCCGTTTCGCCCCCAGGACAGGCTAGAGAAGATTGGAAGATCATTAGAGCTCTTTCTGAAGTCATAAGGGTTCCTCTGCCATATGACAACTTGAATGAAATTAGGTGCAGGTTGCACGACGTAGCGCCACATTTAACTAGATACGGTGAAGCGGAAAATGCGAATTACTTCAAACAAGCGGAAGAATTAGCTAAGGTACGTTGTAATTTTTAACCCATAAATTTATTTGAATGAATGTTTGGTTTCAGACGGCAAAAAGTAGTAACTTAAGTGGTTCTCCAATTGATGTCAAAATAAAAGAATTAAAGGACTTCTACATGACTGACGCCATCAGCAGGGCTTCGCCGACGATGGCGAAGTGCGTCCAAGCAGTACTCAAACAGAAACAGTCAAAATACTGAATTCTGTAATAGATTCTTGCACTATTTAATTTTAATGTGTTGTATTATAAAACGAATAAATAAATACGAAACAAGTCCGGTTTTTAAATGCAAAGCGCATTGATCGACCTAGGCACCAATGCGAAATTTGTTGAGTACGGTCCAGACCAAATCACGGTTGGCAGCACTGCGCATGTCCAATCGATTTTCTTAACAAATGTCATGTAGTGTTTGTTTCTGCAAGAAAAATCGTAAATAAAGACAATAAGGTAAGTTTTTTGTTAAATAATGCACGATGAGGTCCGATCTAACTCTTTTTCTTGAGTCAAAATGTTTTTCGTCATGTTGGTACCACCTATTTTGCGAATCACCCTGAAAAGACAGTGCCGGACGCAAAAAATTTTATTACCACATAAAAAAAATGCTTTCGAGATATGGATAAATTAGTAACGTAATGAGATAGTTGTTGTAGATAATTCGTGAACGATTCGCGTGGAAATTATCGAATGACAGATGTCTGCAGGCTTGTAGGTCATGATCATTGATTTTGTTTGGAATCCCGCATGACAGTGAATCATCCGGCATCCTTCGCCGAAACTTAATTAAATTCGAGATAAACCACGCGATTCCCACCCGAATCGCTTATGTCCACTGAAATTATAAATAGTTTAGATACGTGAGATATGCGATATAATTTCGCGCGAAATTCAAATCCAGTTTTGGGATTTTTGATGAGTTCCTTTTGCTCAACGTTGTCTCTTTTTTTCTCATTTTTGAATAAACATATTGATTTTTGCGCGGTCATTGGCGAAGTCCCGTATTGATTTGCGTCACGTGTTCGTTTTGCGCATCCGCCAGAACTCTTGTGGACTTTCCGAGACGTCACAGATTCTTAGAGTGTCGGTGGTGTTGTTCAATTTCGGCAACGATATGAAGAGTAAAGATGTTGAAACCGTGTTGTCGACTGGAAACTAACTGCCACATCTCAAGAACTATCATCCGGAAGCACTCGGTATGTGTTCGTGTTCTTTTTTGCAAATCCTTTGTTGAAATAATACATTTTTCGCCATACCTAGGGCGTGTTTAGTTTTTTCTTTTAGATGTGTTTGATTTTTCACCCCGTGTTCCGTCGGGGCTGTAATCGGATAGTGTGTGGTAACCTTTAGAGCGATCAATAAGAAAAAATCAAGGTATTGTTCATCGTCCAGGTAGTGCGATAATAATTGATATTCCTTTCGATTGCTATGAAATCGGATAATTTTAGCCCTGCGTGGGTGCCGACAAATATTGTTCAATCAACGTCATGGCATCCGAAAGCTCTCGATACTGGATTGTCGGCTTTTTTTCGAAAACGAATGCCTAAGGTCAGACTGGACCGGAATTGCGTGACGCAAGTGGCGCCAGTAGGATGTAATTGCGTTGTTAGGGGTATTAATTTTGCACTCGCTTCAATTACGGGCAATTAGGGGGTGGTTGTTGTTTTTTAAAGGGTTTAGTTCGGCTCGGCTTAAGAACACAAGGCAGGTTCTCTGCGATCCCATAAATATCGCTAAATTGCCAGGCAATCCCTCGGGACACGTTTACCCAATGTGCTACCTGCTCGTTCTTGTTGGTTTCTTCCACCGTAAATTCTCATATATTATTCGTTGGTATTACTAAGAAACCATATTTTGCTCTGGGGTCGTTAATTTTTGATGCAAAGCTAAATTTTGCGTTGTATTATTTAACTTGATGGTGGAAGTGTTTGATAGAAAGATTATTTTTTGTGTAGGGTCTTGGAATATTCGGCAGGGATAGTCAATTTCAATTTGTGATATATTGCTTTCTTCCCCTTTACGTTTTCATATGTTCAGCCTCGATATCGGCTTACTTCAACAGATGTCCCGGTTTCCCATTTCTTTTATCAGTTGTGGGCATTTCTTCAACGATTGCCAGAATTTTCATTATCATTTATCTGCCACGCGAAAGTAGGTTGGGGCATAGGCTTTTGAATTTATTAGATTGTTTTGGTAGGTATGCGTGCTTTGTTACAAGGTCCTATTGGCCATAAAAGAAAACTTCCAAGTAGGTAGTTTTTTTTCTTTCAGTTTAATGACTGCACTTGTGACATTTATGACTAATATGTCGCTATATTGCTTTTGTGGATGCGGTGGATCCAAACTGGATCCTTTTCAGATGGGGAATTAAATGGGTTTTGTAAAATGACAATTCTTGCTTAGTCTTTATTTCGAGCGAAATTTTCCATTTATTGTTTCTTTCTACTTTTCTAGACGTTTCGTCTGGCACGTAGTGCTCCAGTAAAATGAAGATTGTATGCTTTTTTCTTATTGCTAGGAAATGATAATTCTGACGTCATCTACCGCATGCAGAGGATTTTGGACTGCATTGACCCGTAATGTTAACCAAAGTCATTGATTATCGCGCATCAATTTCTTCTTTTAGCCCAGATACCTTACTAATATAATTATGACTAAACAAAAGTGAACAAAAGAAATCAATCAAGTATTTGAATATTAAAATAGTTGTAGCATTTGCTGATGCATGTGATAGTTCGGAGATAAGGCAGATCAAAGGAGATCGATTATTTAAATATGAAAATCAGATATTTTGAATGAAAGCAATCAATTTTGTTTGTGCTAGACTTACTTTCCATCTGTTAGATCGAAGATTTATGGTTTTATTCATATGAGGATGATTTTCATTTCCTTCCTGGCTTTTCTTTTAGTAATTTAATCTTTTTTCAGGGTTTAATAGATCCATGTTCAAGTTATAACCTTTTATGGTTGTCTATATAGCTAAATCGTTTATCACTATGTATTCGAAATTATAGTTAAGAAATTTTTAAAAATTATCTGAAGAGAATTCCTAATTTACTTATCTGGTTCTAAAACAAAAGACATAAAATTCTATTAGATTTTTATACCTTCTTAGTATTTACACTCTTTTGGCTAGTCTTTTAAAAATTTCCAGCTCAAGTCTGAGTCAGATGTTTATTGAGGGTGGTGACCCCTTATGGATTCACGCAGTGACTCTGATTATATCAGTCTCGCTGATGTATTCAAGTCTCGTCACCAGTGACAATTGTACAAAGGTCAGGATCTGCCTCTATAGCGATCAGATTTTGGCATCTTGCTGACATCCTCCTTGTGCCCAGTTCATTATGTAAAATGTTCCAGACGTCTCCTTTTGACATTTTTAGCTCAGATGCGATCGATGAATGAAATTTTTACTAGAATCGCGGCCTCAATTTCTTGGAAATTGCTTTATTTGTTGGTTCCAGGTTTTGGGTCACTGGATGAAAAAACAGGATATTTTCTTCCGAAATTACTTATTAAATGAAGACCATTTGTTTTAAAGTAGTGGAAAGTTACGGTTAGTTTATATGATAAAAGTTACAGCTTAAAGCGAACTCATGTTTCATATAGTAGCTAGAGTACCAGTATCAGTATTGTAGGTAGTTATCTAAATTTACAATGGTATAGTTTTCAAGTTAACATAAGTGCATACATTTATTATTATTTTTTATCTCTTTATCTTTCAACTACACATGTACAGTAACAATTAATAAAACAAAAATGCACAATGTTACATAAATGTTAATTTTGTTAAAATGGTGATAAAACTGCAGTTTCTATATACATATATATTTGAATTTTTTTTCTTGTGTGTAACATTGGATGTCTGTCTACATGTCGTCCAGATTTTTCAAATGCGGTTTTTGTGTTCACTCTTGGTGCGTTAAAGTTGGTAATGTAAGTAGGCAGTGTTGGCACACATAAAATCACAAACACACAAATTCTCAGCGGAACAAGAAAAGTTGAAATTATTAAAGTTTTGATTGTGTAATACTGTTATATTTGACGGGTATATGGAGGAACGTTGTTTACGGTAACGCTAAAATTATGATAAAGTTTGTAACATGCTAACATGCATACCAAATTAAAAAAAAAGCTTGTCAAAAATAAACCAAGAATTGGAATTTAAAGTTGTCCCTTATCATCCCTACTCTTTTTAATGTGAAGCATACATTTCATGGCACAAATACAACGGATGCAGATAAAAGGTATTGTTTGAGGGTCTGCTAAAATGACTATGGTGGCACCCCGCTTTACACCAATGACATTGACGTCACAAATATTACCAAACACCAGATTCACACGATACGGTTGATAGTTGTTTGGTTGTTGCAACAGTCATAGTTACATTAGGTAAATGTTTCAAAGTCGGTTGTAAGTTCTTTCTTTGCCCGTGTCGGTATTTTATACCCCTACAGCTGTTCTCGTAAAAATAAAATTATTATGCGTCACTCTTCCTAAAAAATGAACTAATGTAATTAAGTGTATCACCAGCGACTTAAGTTAACTGAATAGAAGCAACTTTCCAAAGTTTTTGTTTTCAGTAGTTCGATAGTTCAGGAGTTTTCCTCAAATGAATTTAAAATAAACTGATACCCATCTGGTAAAAGCAGGTGAACTTTGTTCTTTTGGAGGGATCATGTAATAAGTTGTTTTTATTATCACGAACATGAATCAAACACGATTGTATACTATTTAAAATAAAAATCTTGTGGTTTGTTTTTTCGTATGTCCACATTGTTTTGATTGCTCCTTTTTTCCAGTAAATAATGTAGTTTCAGCAAAAAATTGAGTTGGTTTTTCGTATGAATAATTTTTTAATATTAGAGTTATCCAATTTTGAGAGACATCATCATGCCCGTTTTTTTCTTCGTTTGTAAACATTTTAGATCATAGTAGTTATTTGAAGGCTCACTAATCAGTTAATTCATTTCGATGAATAATTCGTGAAGTATCCTGTGGGAAGGTATTTTGGGTTGCATAAATCCGATATTAGTGAATCACTCTGTGTAAGAGTGAGATTGATTTTTCTCACATTATCAGGTGCATTATCAGTATGCTGTTGCTATGCAGTTAGCGTATTACATATGCACAATTTGTTTGCTTTGCATCATTGCATTTGACGACCTTCGATGTGTTAAACCGTAAAAATATATATTTATAATACAGAATGTCATTGATAAATAACAAGATCTATAACATGATTTTGTTTAAGTTTTGGTGTTTAAATAAAGTACACTAAAAGTCAGCTTCGGTTTATTCAGTTGCAAACATCAAATAGTCCCAATGGTTGTTTGAAATTTAAAAACTCATGATATTTGAGTGGTTCATAAAATGATAAGAAAATAATTATTAAATTATAATTAATTAACACTGGGTAAAATTAGGTAAAATTAGCTTATCTTCGTTTTGTGCAATCGAATTTATCTAATGATTAAATAAGTGGCGTCGGAAATATGATTAACTTTAATTTTTAATTTCTCTGAAGGTAGAATATTAGTACATTATGAGATAAGCGGCTGAAAAAATATTTCAAGCGTGAGAGTGATTTTTTCACGAGCGCTAGCGAGTGGAAAATAGAAACTCGAGCCGTTAAAATTTCAGTCACGAGTTGCATATACTATTATTTCTACGAAATTTGGAAACATAACATAAACGTAGCGTATTCTTTTTTTTTATTTTTTAAAAACAATAATTGTAACTCAACAATTTCATCGAATATTGAGCCCATAGTGTTGATGGCTTTTTAAGTTTGCCAATTTTTGGTGGAACGTCTTTCGCTTCGTTGTCACTCATTTTTGTTTTTTGTGGACAGTTACAATTACTAAATGTCACCAATCTCAAACAGTAGTAACCCGAGCATTTTCACTCCTGTGGTTGAAGTGAAATTTCAACCATGGCAATCACATTTTTATATTAATGAGATAATGAGTAGAAAAAAAAATGGTAATAGTATCGGGTGCTGTATATTATCTTTAACGAACAATATTTTCTTTATTCGTCTGTAGTGAGAGCTAAGTTTAATGACAAGTTGAGGAATACGCAAAAATATACTTGGTTATCTACTACCTCTTGTTGCCATCTTCGATATTTTTTAATAGCAAATGAAGTCACATACTGGTCTGTTGTCTATGATCCTTAATATAATAAGTTTGGTTTTGTCTTCTGAACTTTTCTATTGATTTTATATAGGGCTACATATATTTCTATATAGTCCTATAGCCAGCGAAGTCGCTGACATCCTTCTGAAAGCATGTCCTGTGTAAGATTTTGGATCTTGGAGTTTTAAATATTCGGCAACTTTTTGAGGTTGTAGGTGTCCTATAGTTTATGCCCACAAGTAATTTACACATTTTCCTTGACGAACTGAGTAGAAAAATGGACGAGTTTGTTTCCATGGGTCTTAACTGTAGATATATATTTTCGAAAAATATTCAGAAAAAAAACTTATTCATTGGGTTGATCAGTAATTGTGAAAGTTCAATTAATATGTGTCTTTGTATCGGGTTCATTAACATCTGAATCCAGAAACACCCATTACCATAACAATTTTCATGATAATATAAAATGGAGTGAACCGTTCCTGATTTAATCAATAAAATAAATTGACACATTCATTCATTTTTTTGCATCATGTTTTGCACATTTCGGGTAGATTTAGGAATTTAACTCGTTACTATGTAAATTTGCAATTTAACACCTTTAAATTTCACAAGTTTTTAAAAGGTTAATAGGGGCAAAATCAGTTTTATCTTAAAAAGTACTAGTACCGCCCACCCGCCCTCTATTTTCCCAGAGGATATGTCATTTTCCGAAATAAGTCTTATCTTAGGAAGTACTAACCCTGCCCACCCACCCTGTACTTTCTTAGAGGGTGTGTCATTTGCCAAAACAAGACTTATGTTACCAAGTACTAGCCGCGCCCACCCACCCTTCATTTCCTCAGAGAGTAGTACTTGCCAGTAAGTCTTATTTTGGCAAATGACATATCCTCTGAGAAAATAAGGCGGGGCCAAAGAAAGTTATATTGCAATTACATATTCTATTTAGTTTTAAATTTTTTCTAAAAATTATGGATGTTTAGGGTGAAAATTCGACACGGTTTCACACACCGCAAGTACAAGAGTGTCTTATTTTATATAATTAAAAAACTTTTAATTATAAATTTTGGATATGACGTCATCAAATTGTTGGTGGGGATAATTAGCCAAATTTTGGTTAGTATTTAACCACGATATTTCTAACATATGTGCAAAATTTGACAACAATTGGCCCAGTAGTTTCGGAGATTCCGTGTCTAATAAAAATGGATACAGACAGATAGACAGACAACCGGAAACGAGAGACCAATTTTTTCGTGCTCTAGAGGTCATGATATTTCGAGAAAATATGAAAGTGAACGGAAAAAAATTGTTTTGTTTACACAAGGAGGGTGAACTTTACTATTAATTGTCTGTCATCTCAAAATCAATATAATATTATTACTAAAATTTCTAAGACGTTTTTCTGAGATAAATAGCAAAATTTAATTAAAGTTATCAATATTTTGAGATTATGTTATCAGTTTTTGCAGTAAACGGATAAACAAATTGTGATTAGTTTTTTATCATCTTCATGATAATCCAGATACTTTAAGGGTGTTGGTTTTATTGACAGTGCCTTTTTGAAAACAGTAAGTAGATGCCATATGACAGGCGGAACCAGGCCACTTGCATTTTCGTATTTTGCATGCTGTAAAACACATGTAAGTTTTCATTCGTTGTCAGATCGAGGGGCGGAGCATAATTGTAAAATTTATACTTCCCTAAAAAATTTACCATTTTAAACATATTTTAAGTTTCTTGTTGTGAAAAGAAGGCTACGTATATTAAGAAAAGAAGCAAAATTTGAAAATAAAAATGAAAAAACGAAAAAGTATAAAATGAAAATTTTAAACAATCTAAAAATTGGAAATCAAAATTTTGAAAAATTGAATAAACTAAAAAAATTAAATAAAATCGAATTAAAAATTGAGAAACTTAAAAATCGAAAAACGAAACTTAATATTCATTGTAAAATCGAAATATTGAAGATTGAAGAAATTAGAAAAACAGATAAATGATTGGTAATCCAAAAATTGCAAAATTAACAAATTTTAATAATTGGAAAAGCGAGGAATTAAAAAATCTAAGAAAATTTAAAAATTGAATAAACGAAAAATAAAGGCAATGAAAAAAAAGAAAAATTGTGATTGAATTAAAAAACGGGAAAATGAAAAATAAAAATCAAAAACTTGCAAAATTGAGGAAACGAAAAATTGAAAAATCGAAAAATTAAAAATTGAGAAACTGGAAAATCGAAAAATGAAAAATTGTAATGTCGAAATTGAAAAATTGAAAAGCAAGCTGAAACAACCGACACATTGAAAAATGGGAAAAATAAAAATTGAGGAACTTAAAAATCGAAAAAGTGCGAAATCGAAAAAACGAAATATATGTTGTAAAATCGAAATATTGAAAAATAAAGAAATCGGAAAATCGGGTAACTGGAAATCCAAAAATTGATAAACTAATTTAAAAAATTGTGGTCAGGAAATTAAAAAATGGAAGATTGAAAATTTGAAAAATTGCATAAACGAAAAATTATAAAATCAAAAGAAACATTGAAAAAATCAAGGAAATGGAGGAAACGCATGCAATGTCGAAATTTCAAAATTGAAAAATTGCAAAACGCAAAATCGAAGGAGCGAAAATTTGAAAGGTTTGGAAGTCGAAAATTGCAAAAATTAAACTTGAAAAAACTATAGAACTGAAACATTGAAAAATGGAAAAACTGAAGATGGAACAAAATGAAAAAACGAAAAACTGTTATATAAAAAATTGCAAAATCAAAGAAAAAGCAAGTTCATTTTTCAATTTTGGATCTTTCAGTGTTACAGTTTTCGACTTTTTTCGAATTTTAATGATTCTATAATTTTTTGATTTTACAATTTTTACGATTTCTAATTTTTCGATCCGATTCGTTTTTTCTTCTTTCTAATCTTACGATTAATTTTGTTTTAATTGTTTAATGTTTAAACTCTGCAACTTTCATAAAAAAATAAAAAACAATTTTTTTCGATTTTTAATTTCTCGATTTTTAGTTTTTCAGTGCTTCAGTTCTTCGATTTTCCACATTTTCGCTTTTGCAATTTTATTTTTTACAGTTTTTGCCAAAATAAGTCTTATCGTGGCAGATACTAAAAAGACTTTGGACATTGTGATACATATTAAAAAACATCAGATACGACTCCCTATTGAACAGTGAAAATAGTTTCCATTTTAGCTTTGTACAAATAAGAAAAATATTGTTTGTTAAATAAAATCTGGAACAGTGGGCATATTTCATTGACTTTTTGAATCATGTATTTCTTTTAAATACATATGTTTTAAATGTTGAAGAAGACAAACTACATATCGCTAAGATTACTATTTGTGTAAACGCAAACATCTACGAAGAAATAAGAAACCTATATACATAACTATCCGGCGAGGATAATAATTTGTAATCGATTCGTTGTTAGAGAGGATTTAGCATGTCGGTGATTACACCACACTGATAAAAAAATGTCAAAAAATGACAAATGTAAAAACAAAAATGGCGGACACTCTTTAATAAAATAGGTGTGAAATAATAAGAAAAATTGGTACAAGGTTAATTAATTTTATTAAATAAATGTAAATAAAATTACACTAAATGCTTAAAATGTTGTCAATTTTATTGTAAGCGTAGATGAGCTCTTTGTTTATTTCCATCGATCACATGCGTGAAGATCTCTGCATTATTGCCGTTATTTTTTTCAGTTATTTCCAACTTTAATTCCCAAAAATGTTACTTTTTAAATATGGCCACAAATAAAAGACTGCACAACACGTCTTGGACCAGATATTCTCTGTATTTCGATTAATGGTCCGGTTATCAAAAAATTCCCGTGACTTGTTAATCTTGTTATTGTGGTCCTAGCCGAATGCTCTGTAGTCCCGTCTTGTTGAAAATAATCTATCGTCTTGAAGTTCTGGTATAACATCTGGCGAAAATTTCATATTTACATCTAGCAGCGATTGGATTACCTTGAGGATTACGTTGATTGAGCCAATTAATCACATGATTATTATTATCATGATTAACTTCAAGGAACAAAGGCCCTATTATTCGTCGTTGACTAATTGTAGCCCAAACACCAATTTTTTGAGGATGAAGGGGACTGTCAACATAAATATGTAGATTTTTGGTGCTCTATGTTCTCATTTATGAGAATTAATGTACACAATTAATTTCCTAAAACCGTTTCTTAAGACGCAGCGTTAAATATATCGTTTCAGAGAAGACATATTGAGTCAATTCCAAGGATAAGTCGATTACAAATTGTGTTGTTCGCCCGATATAATAGGTACATAGACTTTTTTTTCTTTCTACTCGAGTCTACAAGTTTTGTTGTTGAAAATTAATTGCATTCTTTTGAACGCTAATAAATAGCTTTTAATTCTGGAATTCAGACAAGTTCTTCTTATTGCCTGTTTGATAAAAATTCTATTCCTTACAGAATTTTAAAAAATGTTCTCATATTATCTTAGTAATGTAATAATTTTATTCTTGTTATTAAATAACTGTAAGTTCCGTTTTTGTCGACCCCGTTGGTTTCTCTGTTTTCTTATAAATGTTCTTCTATTTACTGGATGGCATACATAAGTAATTTTAAAACGATTCGAATATCAAATACGAAGTTATGTTTACATTTTCCGTGGGCGGTCGTTCGTGATATGTGTATTTCGGGTTGCATTATTGTGATACGGGTCGTCATTTGAGCAGAATAACCTTGTCGTGGAATGCAAATAGGACACGAAAGTTAGCGTGGAGTTGTCGTTGGTCATGGCGATAAAGTTCCGAATCTATTTGGAACGATAGTTCGTTTCTTTCTTTGTTCCCTTTTTAATTCCAGCCGTCGTTCCAGTTTTAGGGAAACAAAAATCCGAACATGTCGTCGGTGAAGGTAGCCGTGCGAGTCCGGCCGTTCAACAACCGAGAAATAGCGCGAGAATGCAAGTGTATAATAAAAATGGGTGGCAACACCACCAGTAAGTACCCTTCCGGTCACGTCAGACCAAACCGTTGATCGTGCTCTGTTTAGCTATCATCAACCCGAAAGCGGACCCTAAAGAAGCTCTCAAAAGCTTCAATTTCGACTACTCCTACTGGTCGCACGATGTAAGTAGCTTTTTTCCGTCGACGTATTGTGAGCAGGTAGTTTCAGGAAGACGATCCTGAATTCTCCTCCCAACTCACGGTTTACAAGGATATCGGCGAGGAGATGCTCCAGCACTCCTTCGACGGCTACAACGTGTGCATTTTTGCGTACGGCCAGACGGGGGCGGGCAAGTCGTACACCATGATGGGGAAGCAGGAGGTGGGGCAGGAGGGCATCATCCCGCAAATCTGCAAGGACCTATTCAACAGGATACGCAACAACAACAATCCCGACATTAAATATTCAGTGGAGGTCAGCTATATGGAGATCTACTGCGAGCGGGTCAGAGACCTGCTTAACCCCAAGAACAAGGGGAATCTGAGGGTGCGCGAACACCCGCTGCTGGGGCCGTACGTGGAGGACCTGAGCAAGTTGGCTGTGACGAGCTACGAGGACATACATGACCTCATCGATGAGGGCAATAAGGCCAGGACCGTGGCTGCCACCAACATGAACGAAACTAGTTCGAGGTCGCATGCTGTGTTCACGATTTTTTTCACGCAGCAGAGATACGACCAGACCACGACCCTTTGCACGGAGAAGGTCTCGAAGATCTCCTTGGTGGATCTGGCCGGGTCGGAGAGGGCCGATTCGACGGGCGCCAAGGGGACGAGGCTGAAAGAGGGCGCTAATATCAACAAAAGTCTGACCACGTTGGGAAAAGTCATATCAGCTCTGGCTGAAATTGTAAGTATAAGGAGAGGTTTGCGAGTAAGCCGAGTCAGTTGTGGGAAGTTTACACAAAATAGTTCGCATCGATAGAAATTCTTGAACCCCTATATTATTTGCATTTTTAAATTTGCGTCACCCTAAAAAATGTTTCACAACATTCATTGCTACCAATCGAAGGATTGTTTTCATTGTCAGCTTTAATTCCTCGTTCTTAGAGCGACAATCGTGTACATTTAAAACATCTTTTTAATATCCGTTTACTATGTCTCATTTGTCTCACTAGCCGAAGGACAAAGTGTACCAAATACGAGGAAGTCTTTTCTTGCCACTAGACAATAACAAATCAATAACAGTACAATTCAAATAGAACCATCATTTGTTTGCTCCCTCGCTGAAACTTTGTTAATTATCCTTGCAATAATTCCCCGAACTGACTCCGCTTCAACAGACTTTTACAATTTACTCAAAAGTCAATATATAAAACTAATGCTTATGTGTTACCCAAACTTTTGCCTCAATGTAGTCGGTAAGTTTGGAAAGTCACTCCCTATAACCCCCAATTGCCAACCCTAATGTGAATTTTCAGGCCTCCAAAACCAAAAAATCAAAAAAAGCCGACTTCATCCCGTACCGAGATTCGGTGTTGACATGGTTACTTCGCGAGAATCTCGGTGGCAACAGCAAGACGGCCATGATAGCCGCCATTTCTCCGGCTGACATCAACTACGACGAAACTCTCTCCACTCTCAGGTACTGTTTTTTCTGTAGTGGGGTTAGTTAAGTTTGCATGGAAAAGTACAGATTTGAGTTTAGGTTGATAAGCTGATATTTGTGAAGTTTAAATTTGAAGCTTATTATGCTTCCAAGTAACTAAACGTCAGCTTATCAAAATAAGCGAGGTATACCCTAACTAAAAAAACTCGCATGTAAGCACTTATCTTTGGTGTTACAAAAATAAGCAACAAAATGCGTCTACGACAATTTATTCAACAAATTATTGATGACTGTTAACGAAAATAGAGTCGGTCTTTAGAATGATGGTCAGAACTTTGTGTATAGTAAATAGCTTAAAATTTGAGTAAATATCAAGTCACACCCTTCTGTTTTCTGTTTCGCTATTAAAAATACATGTAAACGTAGAACATTTTGCCACTGGGTTAGAACGTGTAAACTAATATTTCGAAGTGCTCTACTTTCATTTTATCGATTAGTATTTTTTGTCATATCAGACATAAGTAAGATAGAAAGAAAAATATTTAACTTGGAAGAATTAAAATCAAATAAAAATTTGTGTCATTAGGGAGTGGCTGTAGGTGTTTGTTGAAAAAGCAATAATTTGTTTATATTTTGTTTTCATATAATTCTGTCTTTAGCGTTGAACATCGTTCCCATCAACTGCATTTTAAGCTCAGCTAATGTCATTATTCCATATATTGGGGATTTGTTTTACACTTTCAGGTTAAATATATCTTTTTCCGATCTTAATTAAATTTTGTAGAATATGTTTTTTTTGCCAGCGCTGAACTGAAATTTAAATTCCATTACGTCTTCTCTATTCCAAACAAAGTTCTTTAGAACTGTTTCTGTTCTTGACTGTTCTTCTTGTGTCCACGGTTTTCTAATTTGACGTATTTAAGTCTTTTTAATTTACCTCCGTAATCCCACTTCTGACACCATTTTCGCAATTGGACCAGGTTCTTTGAGGAAGTTCTTTTAAGGATATATTTGGAAACAAATTCTTAGTTTGTTCATCTAGAACCCACCAGTAATTGTTAACCTTACTCGGTTTGGCTGAAATTCTACTTTTCTAAATTGGTTCCAACATCCGCTTCTTTTACTTGCCTGTTTTAAAAAACTTCTTTGGTTACATTTTTAACAAACAGATCCAAACATCTTATGGATTTTTTTCTCTATTAGTTGGTCAACCATTAGTTTTCTTTGATCTACGGTTATTAAAACTGTAAAAATATTCATGGGTGGTGGTTTGTTGGATGACTTTAGTTTTCCCATTCAGTGTCGACGATTTTTTCTAGATTTTCTCTCAGGAACGTTTTAACTTTATCATCATATTCTTCTTCTTGTATATATTTGGAGATATAGAGTGACATTCGCCGAATTTAGATCAACGTGATCAACGAAACATTGCTTTCTTCTTGGTCATTTTCATCTGTCTTCTTTTCACAAGTCGGTCTGTCAATATCTAATGAAAATGGTATGGTATCTTGTCAAATATCTTATTCCATTGTTTTTGGTTGGTTTATCGTTTTATTTGGAGTAATATTCCATGGATTATCTTTGATTTACTTTTTCATTAGTGTAGTTTGGTCTATAGTCCCGATAAACGTGAATCTTTCCAGCAACTTTTTCTATAAGAATGATTAATTCGAGAAATTACCATTTGTGTCGTTTAAACTTTCAAACACAAACTTCCTTAGAACTCTACTTTAGAGTGTTTCTCTTAAGCTGAATCTTCTAGAACTTTCTCAGTTTTCATCAAGTGGTGTAAGTTTTCAAATCAGATTGGTTAGAACTATTTTAAATGTTAGTTCCGTTTTTCAAATGTTCTGCAACTTCCTAGCAAAGCTACGAAAACTTTCTCCATTCATCTTGAAATTCTCCTGTAGTTTCAATGTTGTAGTTGATATTAAAATTTGCGTCTCTATCGTCTTCAGCTTGGTTCTCTAATACTCCTAATTTACAATTTTCTGGGAATTTGATACACCAGAATTCTGATCATTACCAATAGAACATTTTTCAACCTTCACGAAACTGTCTTGTAAAACATTCGAAATTCTTTTTTATCTTCCCGTTTTCAAACAAAATATTCTACAACTTGTCGAATTTATGTTTCTTCCCGTTTCCAGATAAGTGTTCTTCAATTTTCTCTGATTCACGTCTTTTTAAACTCAATTGTATTCTCAAGTCAGAATTATCTTAACTTTTCTTTTTTACTTCTAAAGCGTTCTCGACGTTTCATAACCCTAGAGTACGAAACAGTGGTCTCCCGTTTCCGTCTGTTTGTGTCTATTTTTATTAGACAGATAATCTCCGAAACTACTGGACCGATTTTTGTCAATTATGTGGATGATAAAACACTATACAATTTGATGACTTCATCTTAAAAGTTTCTTCTTTAAAATTATTTAAATGTTCTACAGTAATATGTTCTTACACTAGGGTGTATGAACTGCTTTGAGTTTTTTCTTTAGGCATCTCAATTTTCGCAAACATTTTAGCCAATTTTTCCAAAAATAACTAACTTTTACATAGTCCCACTTCTGATATTATCACAACTGAAAAAGTAATTTTTGACGTGAATTTTTTCGTGGTTAAAATATGGTCGAGTGCGCTCTGACTCTGCTTTTTATTTCTTCTTCTGTCCGCTGCTCAAATATCCTTTTCTTCTCATTTTCTACACATGCTTCTGTTACTCTTTTTTGGCAGATATCAATGAAAAAATCTTTCTGTTTTCTCTTTCATATAGTTGCATAAAATTGTAAAATTGTATGAAAGTAAATTCAATTTCTTCTTCGTTGATTTATTTTCCGTCTTTATTTGTCCATTTATCCTTTTAATTTGTTCGTTTCTCTGTCATTCCTTCTTCTATTTCTATGACTTGATTTATATCTCGACAGATATAAACCTTGTTTTCTACTTTAGGTAATTCCTCCAACTACTACTAACTTTCATTTGAGTAATAACAATTGCAGAATATAACTATTTTTTCGTTTTGATTTTTTTAAAGTTCTTCGTAGAAGGTTCTTATCACGGCATAATTTTAGAATATTCTAGCAATTCGTTTATTAGATCGATGGTGAAATACTTCTGCGTCAGGTAATAAGTATTATATGTATTTTCAAAAGAATTGTTTTTTCATTAGTTTTTGACACAGATTTGATCACAGTTCTCCCAAAAATCATTTCGAGGTTTTGAAAGATTATTTCTCCTGGAAGCAACAAGCAAGGAATTAAGAAAATAAGGTTGGTTAGAAGTTTCAAGTGGTAGTTGTTAAAGTCTCAGCCAGATTGTTTAACATATTGACACTGATGTCAGTTTATAAAGATCTTAATTTTGCCTTTTTAGGTGTCTACTTCAAGTTTACAAATTATTAGGTTACAAAATTATCGGCAATTAAAAGTAATTTTGTTAAAAACTTTTCTATGACGTAGCTCTAGACGCAGGATTAAACGCATCACATTACGAAACACATACGGACTCAATTCCAAGGTTGATTGGATTACAAATGATATTGTTTGCTCGATGTTTCAAAGCCTCGTTTTTGACTAGAGTGCCTTTGGAATTTCCTGAATTCATATCAAATAACTTCTTGCTTTAGTTGTAATTAGGAATGAAACTGAAATTTTTCTATTTTTCTGATTTCAGTTTTTTTTTGGCAGTCTTTCTTTCTTTAATCACAGGGTAACGTCAGAACTCTTTTACTTTTTTACTTTCCGAGCGTAGGCTAAGAAAGTATAGTAATCGACTCCATCGGACGAATGGTTACTTATATTTTCTAGACGTTTCATCACTTCTAGACTACGAAAAAAAGTAGTCTCCCGTTTCCATCTGACTGTCTGGCTGTCTGTCTGTCTGTTTCCATTTGTATTAGACATGTAATCTCCGAAACTGCAGCTGGACCGATTGTTGTCAAATTTTGTATGTACATATATTAGAAATATATATCATGTAGATGGTTAAATGCTAATCAAAATTTTACTAATCATCCCCATCAACCATTTGATGATGTCATTTCAAAGAATTCAACAATATAGTTCTATAAGTGTGGTGTACGAATCCGCTTTGAGTTTTTCCCTAACCGTCCAAATTTTGCAAAAACATGCATGGTGTAACAACTAATAAGTAACAGTTTACCATTAACGTAAAGCATCACGGTCGTGATCTAGTGGTTACCAATTTCGTTTTTTTTTCTCTTGCATTGTGTATTATCTGTGTTTATGACGTCATAACACATTTTTTATTGATGAAATTACCCCACTTTCTCGAAAAGGTGAGAATACGACCCACTTTATTTAAAAATGCAAAACCTTCTCGAGGGTGCCAAATGTCTTTTTTTAAGAATGTGAAACCTCGGGGGTACCAACTGTCTTCCTTAAATATGTAAAACCTTCTCGGGGGCTCCAAATGTCTTTTTTTCTTAATGTCAAACCTTCTCAGGGGTCCCAATTGTTTTTTTAAAAACATAAAACCTTCTCGAGGCCCCAATTGTCTTTTTTTAAAAATGTAAAACCTTCTCGGGGACTCCAAATGTTTTTTTTTTTATGTGAAACGTTCTCGGGGGTCCTAACTGTCTTTTTTAAAATTGTAAAACCTTCTTGGGGGACCCAAATGTCTTTTTTAATATGAAACCTTCTCAGGGGTCCCAACTGTCTTTTTTAAAAATGGAAAACCTTCTCGGCGGCCCCAAATGTATTTTTTTTAAGAATGTGAAACCTTCTCTGGGGTCCCAATTGTCTTTTTAAAAAATGTAAAAGTTTTTCGGGGGCGTCAAATGTTTTTTTTTAGAATGTGAAACCTTCTCGGGAGTTCCAACTGTTTTTTTTTTAATGTAAAACCTCGGGGGGGCCAAATGCATTCTTTTAAGAATGTGAAACCTTCTCGGGGGACCCAAATGTCTTTTTTTAAGATGAAACCTTCTCGGGAGTCCCAACTGTCTTTTTTAAAAATGTAAAACCTTCTCGGGGGCCCAAATATATTTTTTGAAGAATGTGAAACCTCGGGGGTCCCAATTGTCTTTTTTAAATATGTAAAAGTTTTTCGGGGGCGTCAAATGTTTTTTTTTTAGAATGTGAAATCTTCTCGGTGGGCCCAAATGTTTTTTTTTTTAAATGTGAAACCTTCTCGGTGGTCCCAAATGTTTTTTTTTTAAATGTGAAACCTTCTCGGTGGTCCCAACTGTCTTTTTTAAAAATATAACACCTTATCAGGGGCCCCAAATGTTTTTTTTTAATGTGAAACTTTCTCGGCGGTCCCAACTGTCTTTTTTAAAAATGTAAAACCTTCTCGGGGGCCCCAAATGTATTTTTGTAAGAATGTGAAACCTTCTCGGGGGTTCCAATTGTCTTTTTTTTTAAATGTAAACGTTTTTCGGGGGCGTCAAATGGTTTTTTTTAGAACGTGAAACCTTCTCGGGAGTTCCAACTGTCTTTTTTAAAAATCAAAAATCTTCTCGGTGGGCCCAAATGTCTTTTTTAAGAATGTGAAAGCTTCTCGGTGGTCCCTACTGTCTTTTTTAAAAATATAACACCTTCTCGGGGGCCCCAAATGTCTTTTTTTTAATGTGAAACTTTCTCGGAGGTCCCAGCGATCTTTTCTAAAAATGTAAAACCTCGGGGGACCCAAATATCGTTTTTAATGTGAAACCTTCTCAGGGGTCCCAACTGTCTTTTTAAAAATGTAAAACCTTCTTGGGGCCCCCAAATGTATTTATTTAAGAGTGTGAAACCTTCTGGGGAATTGTCTTTTTTAAAAATATAAAAGTTATTCGGGGGCGTCAAATGTTTTTTTTTTAGAATATGAAACCTTCTCGGGAGTCCCAACTGTCTTTTTTAAAAATGTAAAATCTTCTCGGGGGGCGCCAAATGTCTTTTCTTAAGAATGTGAAATCTTCTCGGGGACTCCAAATGTCTTTTTTTTTTAATTTAAAACCTTCTCAGGGGCCACAGTGTCTTTTTTTAAGAAGGTAAAACCTTCTTTTTTTCTATTACACTGTGACTAGTACCTTCTACATTGTTTTTGCTCTATAGAGATTATCACGAAAAAAGTTCCATAAAATCAAATTTTATAATTTTTTAGAAAAGCAGTATTTGTTGGACTGTACTTCAGAAGCGAGGGAAGTTCTGTCGAAATACCTTGCGACCATTTTTGTTTTCTCGATTCTTCTCCAACACTTCCAGTCTACCGGTCTCAGTAATCCCTAATTGTTAATGTCATTACTGTATATTTGTTATTCAATTGACCAATTCAAGCACAATGACATTTTAGCACTATATAGAATGTTTTGAATCTTTCCAAATATCCATAAAAAAAATGAACTCAGTGGCAATTACAACAAAATTTCTAAATTCGTTAATTTTTACTTTTCCTTAGACACGGAATAATACGTCAAATTATAAGAATAGTGTCTATGCTCCCGCTACCGGTAGCTAGTTTTATACCGGTAAAACACGTCAGTAATGATTTACCCGTATTTCTTAAATCCTGACAGATACTGTGACTAGTTGTCATGCTAGTTTGTTACATTTTGAGCACGACGAAATTTTTTCAACTTTATCGGAGTTAAACTTGAACAGGTACGTGAAGGTTAGACACCGGCATTTATATAACTTTATAAATATACATGTTGCATGTTAAAAACCAGTATATTACATTTATAAATTAATAAAGACACATCAGAGTCCGCTTTTATACTCTGAATGTTAACGTTAGTCGCATTTACGTTGCAGTTACGCATTTCACTACTAATAATTCTCACGCACAAATTGTACTAATGCATCAGACACATGATCATGATCAAAGTTGTTCAAATTACACCTTTTATTTGACACCTACACACACATTTAACAGATTTGATTCACACTTGCTACACACGAATTGATCTATTTCTGAGATACACTAGACTCGTTTGTGCCAGCTGGAATACGATTCAAATTGCACTCTTCACGAACTCCCACGTCCCAAAATATAATTCAATCTCCCCCCAGGTACGCCGACAGAGCCAAGCAGATCGTTTGCAAAGCCGTCGTTAATGAGGACGCCAACGCGAAACTCATTCGCGAACTCAAGGAGGAGATCCAGAAATTGCGCGAGCTGCTCAAGGCCGAAGGCATCGAAGTTCACGAGGGTAAGACTTAATTAGTTTTTTTTGCACGGGGCGAGGGTAGATATCAATTTTAAAGTGTTGACGATTCGTGGCTGATTATATTTTATTGTGCGGCCAGGGCCGGATGGTAAAGTTATTTATGAGAAAAGGGAGCCCCCTAGTAAGTATTTGCTTGAACGAAGCTTTGGCACCCTCAAAGATGTCGGCCACCCTGTATCATGAACACGACTCATGATCACTTAGTCATGTCACTTCTTAGTGGTGTGTCAGAACATACGAATGTTTTGTCTGTTGTCGACGTGGTGGAGTGGGTAGAGGAGGTTGAGCAAGATTCTTGGTTAATTTGTAATAGCAGATACAGACATTTACTACAACTTCGTAATTAATTCGTCGTTTGTAGCACGATTTGTGCTCAAAAGTTACATTTTTTTCTTAAACGATCTGGTATATTTAGTTGTTAACACTTCTGGTTTTCATTGACCATTCCAAAACCTCAAATTTTTAGTTAGGAATATAGAGGAACGTGAAATTAGTAGAAGTTACGTGAAACACTAGAGTGCAACTACTAAGAGAGGACGGAAAATTCTGTAATTCTGTAAAGAACAAACTGATTTGCACAAAACACCATGAAAACACCCATAAACCACGGTAGGACGGAATGAAGCACTGTTAGGTTAAATTGTTAAGCATTCCTAAAACAAAACATTCCTCCCCTTAAATTTGCAAATAGACCCTTCCAGATGCTCTTACTGCGACGTTTTCTGGTGTCTTCTTCCCGAAATATTTCCATTCTACGTTCACTTCTGGTAGTTTTGGTAATCTATTTTTACGTTTCTTGTACCAGAAATGTCAAAACAGCATTGATTTAGCAATTGTATTGAAAATGAAGAAATTATTTTTTCGCCCGTTTCTAGAACTAAAATTTGCTAACTGATTTCGGTGTAAGTTGTTTTTTTTTTCGTTAAAACCGTTGATTATCTTTTTATAATTTTATATATTTTGAAATATTAACATTAGTGTTGCAGTCTTTAACGTATAAATTTCATAGAATACTTTAAGTGGCCTATAATTTCTAAAAATAAGAGAATGATTTCCAGAGAATAGTTTATGCGGCTGCTTTTTCTCAATTTTTTAAGTATAATTTATTCCAAAACCAAAAATCCACTACCTGTTGAATTCGTTTAAAAAAACACCCAATTTATAAGATTGGTATTACAAATTTTGAGAACCTCTTGTCACGGATTGTCAGTTTTGAAGTTTAAAAATGAAGAGAAAATCTCAATGAAAATGAACCATAGAATTCTATGAAATGAACTGAAACATAACCTTATTTTGTATAACACTAGAATAAATCACTACTATTGACGCTGGTAACGTTGTCGGATGCATTTTCAAAGAAATTACGATGTTGGTGGATTTTTGATTTTTAAATAACATAACTTTTTTTCGCAAATTATCGTGAAATACATCACTGAACGATTTCAATCTGAAATTGACTTGGTCGTTGAAGTTACAGCACCCTAGGACGATATCGCAAACACATTGAAGTTGATTCGTTGTTAAAATTTCTTAAAATTAAATTTAAATTTTCTCATTTCAATATTTTATTTAAGGTAATATATATGTATAGTCGATGCACAAAAAAAAAAACACTTGGAAGTCGATCCTAGTAAGTGTTTTAGTGTTTTTAAGATTGTTTTCAAGAACGCAAAAGAAAAGATATACAATCCAAATTATTGGCGAGAAAATAATTCTTGTCTGTGGAGTTTTAAAATTCAAATGTCAACATTGAAGATAATTAGCAGGCTGACAACCCAAAAAAGGTGAAATTGCTGGTATTCTGTGACCAACATATTTTTTTCTGTTATTTCTTATTCTAGTCGACTTTAGTAAGTTTTTTCCAGATGTCGCAATTTCTGTCAAAACTATACGTGGCCACATAGCTTAAGAACTCAGTGTGCTTAAGTGACAATATAATTTATTCCAAAATCCATCACCTGTTGAAGTCAGTTTAAAAAACCATTACTATACCGGGTGTCTGGAAAATGGCGGATTAAATCTTCAGTACGTTATGTACGAAGTTTCGGGAGTCCCAAAAAAATTATAAAAAAATTCTTTGTGATGTAGATTGCGAAAAAAACGTGATTTTATATAAATAAAATTGGCAACACTGCTCGCACCTAATGCGTGAATACCTCCGTCTTACTTTCTGATTTCTTAGTAACGATGGTGACTAAAATCCACCTTTATTTTTTTTAAGACAATAACCATCACAACTAGTAGTCATTAATAAACATAACCAACTAAACACTAGAGAAGATGTTCAAAATTCCTACCTTATGCATATATAAGTATAGTCTTTGCCATTTCTATTGAAACACCACTTCTTAATCGTAAATTTGGCAACGTTCATATTCAGACAATTTTCTAACTAAAAGCCGTTGTCAATCAATCGAAAGCTGTTACCAATTGCTAAATTTTAAGCAGAATCAACACGTGGTGTTTCAATAGAAATGGCAAGGACAATAAGCTCGTAATGTTTCCAAATTTTGATTATTTTTTGTAAAAGTTAGTCATCATCAGTAAGTACTTGCAAAGATAAAACTGATTTTGGAAAATGACATACCCTCTAAGAAAAGGGAGGGTGGGTGGGTTGGATGGGGCTAGAAATACGTAGAACCTCAAGATTGTCTTAAATTTTTCCAAAAAAACGTGTTCCCAAAATTAACTCAAAAATAGTTCAGGTCAGAATTTTCCAAAAATAGAAAACCAAAGTCCCCAAAATTGTTTTAATTAATTTACAAAAAAATCGCCATGCGTTCCCAAAATAATACACCATGGACCCCCAAAGAGTCTTCCAAATAAAACTGTGGCACCCAAGACTTTTTCAAGTTCCTATAAAATAAAACAATAAAAGGTTAAAAAAATATTTTCAAGTTCATCTAGCAACAAAACCCCAGATTTCTGTAAATTTATCCGAAACTAAAACACCAAGGGACCTAAAATTAACTGCTAACATTTTAAACGTAGTGTTTTGAAAACCTTGACAATTTTTGATACGTCAAACATTTTTAACTGCTTACTGATTTTTGCTGATTTGTACTTTTGCTTTATATCAGGCAAACATTTGTTATCAAATGAAATTTTAGTTTAGTTATTACAAAAAGAACACATTCATATCTTTGTATATTTTAACTGAAATGGTAGCTAAACATGGTCATGGGCGAGAGAAATATGAACTAAAAGTTTTATTATTAAAGAACCAATTTTAAAGTCATTATAACTCCACCAAAATGTGAGAAGGATTTTTTTACTATTTAATCCGCCATTTTCCAGACATCCTGTATAATTTAAATTTTCTAAGATTGGTACTACCTAGTTTGAGAGCATCTTGTCACGGAACGTCAAATGGAAGTTTAAAAAAGGGAAAAAACTGTCAATGAAAATGACACAACTTTAAATCATTTCACACTAGAATAAATCATCAAAATTATGTTGGCAACGTTGCGATTTATATTTTTGAGGAAGTTGGTGAATTTTTATTTTAGAATAACATATAAATTCCAGGCTATTTTTGTTTATTCACTCCCTAGTGTAAATTTTGGAAAATTCCTGAGTGTAAGGTGTTTTTTTTTTGGACTTTGGGTAAAAAATAAGGAAAACTTAAGCACAGAGTTAAGTGAGGTTAAAACGTTCTCAAATTCTTTTAAATGTCAAGGAACTTGAACGTACGTAATGTTACGTAAACATGAAATTTTATGTGACCCTATCTTACTGCCTGTTGTCAAAATTGATAAGGTTGTCAGTGACATTTAATTTAAACCGTAATTTGTTATTGACTGTTAATAAAATGTTATAACATCACTTTTTTAAGCGCTTAAAAGTGACACAGTGACACCGTGGCATTTGGATCAGGTTCGGCAATAGCAGCGCAAAAATAATTCCTAGAATTGGATAATTCCATTACCAATTCAAACAATATTTATTGATTGCGCTGTATTTTTTATATAAACAGAAGGAAATTACGTTTTAATTATTGTAGTTGTTAGGTATAATACTTCTACACTATGTCACCGGATTGAGTTCACAAAAGGACAAAAAAAAAATAGTTTATTTTCTATTTTGCAAAAAAATGCCAAAAGAATAATATTTTTTGGTTAAGTTAAAATAAATAAATCTACAATTAAAACTTTAATATTATGAGGCTGTGTTCTTAAAATCGAAAAAACCATAAGTAACGAAGGGCTTTTTTTATTTTTTATTTTACAAAAAAATGTCAAAGGAATAAAAATTGTTCCTTAATTAAAAATTCTATTACTCGATTAATCCACACCCCTTTCAGCACATAGTTCAATTTGTGACTCGTAATTCTTTAATTTAATTCTTTCCTCTTGTGACCTCAGTTTGGGGACATACTGTATATCCACAAATGTGGTAGTGGGATTAATTTGTTCAAGAGAATACTACATGTAGGAAAAAAAAACCGTATTGTTACAAATTTTATTTAATTAAAAGCAAAAATAATTTGTCAAGTACCAGTGAAAGAAGAGAAAACGTTAACTAAAATCAGTGCGAAAATAAGTATTTTTTCCACTAATAGAGATGGGTATATCATTAGTTTTTTAAAGTAGGAAAAAAGTAAACGTAACGAATGCCTTCCTTATTCGTGTAGATACTCTATCCTTAGTTATGAGAAAAGAAGGTATTTTTATCACTCGTTGAACAAATTAATATTATCTGTAGTTTAATGCGGGTGGAAAACACTAATTTACGAATGACTGTGCAATTGCTGCACTGTCAAACACGAATTTCTGAAACACTTTCTTTGTACCGAGAGAGCAGTAAAAAACACGATCAAAGATAACCATGGATTTTTGATTATTTGTCTTTGATAGAATTTTTGTCTTGTCAGATTATCGTCAATTTGAAAATTTGAGTTGAAAATACAACGATCAAAGACAAACTTTAAAAAATCCGTGGCTGTGTTTTTTTGTATTTGTTATTATCATCAGTGATGTTAAAAGCATATGTAAAATAATGTAGTAGGTGGTGAAGCTAATGAGTAAAATTTGTTGTGTTTTTAGAAAAATGTGTTACTTATAAAGAACAAAATTTTAGATTCTTAAGTTTCACAGATACTTTTCACTGAAGAGATTCATT